CCCCCCCCCCCCACAAAAAAACCAAGAAACCAAAACATTATTTCCAAGTTTTGCTCTTGTTCTTTCTTGTTAACATTGTTATGGAGCGTGACAATTTACTGGGTTCCACACAAAGTTTTTGTTGACTCAGTTCTCCTACAGCAAGCTTCAAATGAAATAGACCTGATCCTAAAAAGATGCAAAGAAGCAGAACAGTAACAGAAATTAGCCCATTCGCAGTTGCAAAGGCTGAAAAACTGAAATGAGTCAATGAGATTAGAAATACAAAAACTGAACGACAGTACTAAGGGAGCCAAGGGTGGTGAGGCATCTGTCCTCCTCTCTTGATAAATTATGAAAGCTTTTTTGCATATCCATTTGTTGTTCCAACAAATGAGTCTATCAGGTTTCAGTGTAGTTTGGGGGAGGGGAATGGCAGTGCAGCCCAGATCAAAACTTTGAAATGCATGTCCTTGTGCTATTTGTCACCCTGCCACCATATACCATTACTGCAGCTGTCTGATTGATACTGGTTTCTGTGAGAAACACTAATAAAAATCTAGCCAGCTAATCCAAATCTAGCAGGTTGTCTCAAGGATGATCTAAGCCCTATCATTTTCGTACAATTTCAGCCTTACAGCTTCCTAAAGGTACCTTCTCCAATGCGGCTGCTAAACCTAACATCAGTACTCAGGTTTCTAGGCACACAGCCTGCTCATTATCCCAGCCCTCAGCCTACTCCTGCCTTCTCCAAACTTGGGGGCAGACAGGTTATCAGCAGTCAGGGCACCTGCATTTCATTACCAGATCTGAATCCCAAGGACAGCCAGAATGGCACTGCCTCCCTCCTGCCGCCACTGTCTTTATGTAGGAGAACACAGAGAGCCAGCGATCCAAGAGAGAGACATGGAATATTTTCAGAAAAAACTAACTCTCCCCTGTCAGGCCTCACACAATGTTCCCTGTACCCCACATGTGCATAAGTCAGGCTGTTCCAGAAGGAGGCATATGGAGATATAATAGTTTTATGTCTCATTTTCAGAAGTCCAAATATGCAATTAAAATCCACAAGCAAAACGAATGGACCCTCTAAGCTCCTTTTCTAAAGCCTGGTTTCTTAAACAACTGTATACAGACCCGTGACTGTGACTCAGAGTGCAGAGCTGCCCCACACAGTGCCACTCCTCTTATCAGGAGGTAAAACAGAATTAGGACCCTTTCTTTGGAGCTCTAGGCTATAGGAGAGTCTGGTCCTATTCTCTACACCCACAAAGAAGTCCATCCATCGGAGTCATCTCATCTACTGGCCTGACTTTGCTTACCATATGCTGGCAGCTACCTCCCTGCCCAAGGACCTGGAGGCCATCTCAGATCCCTCCCTCTTCCTCATTCCCAACAGCCACTCAATCACAAACTCCTGTTGATGTTTCCCAAGTGATATCTTTGGAATCTGGCTCCTTTTCTCCATCCCTGTGATGCTAAATTAATGCAGGCCCCCATCACCTCTGGATTCCATCACCTGGTCTTCATACCTCTGTCTTGCCCTCCTCCACAGAGCCACCCGAGTGATCTGTATAAGAGACATGTCACTTACCATGTCCCTCCCCTCCATAAAACTCTTTGCTGGCTCCCCACTGCCTTCAGGATCAAGTTCAAATCCCTTCATGTTGGGCAAGGCCCTTAGTGACCAGCCCAGGCCTTCCACTCTGAGCATTCCATTCTAAGCTCACCTGTGGACCTTAGCTTGAGCTGATCTCTCTGCTCTTTTTACACTTGCCTCCTGGCTATTTTCAAGGAGGCTTCCTGATCCTGGAAGGCCAGAAGAAGAGTACTTTTTTGTTCCTAGAGCAACGTGCTTACCCTTAGCAGAGCACCTGCCACCCAGATCATGTCACTCTGCTCAAAACCTGCAATGGTTTTCCATCTCATTTGGGATAAAAATTTCAAAGTCCTCATTGATATCGTCTGCTAGGCTTGGCTGCATTTCTGTGTCCTATCCTGAGTTTACCTATAAATGGCAGCATTTTTCTACCCACACAAGTGTTATAAAGCAATCCCTCCATAACTAGAAGTTCTACTTCTGGTACTCATTTTTAGCAACCATGAGAATTTTGATTCCAACATGAATTTCAAGTCCCTTCAGTAGGAAATAATCAGAAAAAGAGGAGAATACAGGTTGGGAATGCAAAGAATAGAAATATGGAAAGAGGTATCTGAGATGTGTATAAACAGGCCCACAGGACAGGTTTCAGAGGCAGGGATTAGAAATTCAACTACTCCAGAGCCATAAATTGAAAATGGCAATCAACATATGGATGGTGGATAGGACATTGGACAAAAACACACCTTTAAATGCATGTGATGGTCATTTTATCTGCACCAGAGCAAAATGAATTTGTAAGTAGTTTACAGAAACTGCTGGAGGGAGGAGGCCTAAAAAGATGGTGAAAAGAAATCAGTAGAGCAAACTCCTTGGTTACTAATGTAACCCAATAACATTTAAGATTTGAGGGCTGACTCTGTGCCAGGCATTGGGTTAGGAGTGGGGGATACAGTATGGGTAAGACTGCCTGCATCCTGTTCTCAGGGAGTATGTCTATGTATGTATGTTGTGTGTGTGTGTGTGTGTGTGTGTGTGTGTGTGTGTATATCTTCCTCACTATTTATTTTCTGGACCTGAACCTCTAAGCTGGTCTCCACAACTACGATCCTAATCCATCTTCGAGACTGCCCTCAGATGATTGTATTTAAAGCACTCACTGTCTGACTCTCCTTCTCAAAATGCTTTGGTGACCCTCCACTCTCTACCAAATCAATGAATCCAGCTGTACTGCCCCAAGGAATCCTTCAACCTTATTTTCTATTTCTCGATAAGTTAAAACTGCTCTGGATCTCTCCCGTGTTGCTTCTCTCCTTCCAAGCCTGCACTCATGCTTCTGCCTCTTCTGTGAATGCTCCCCCCGCCCCAGCCCTGCCATACCTGCCAGAACTTTTACTTCTCTTTTAAGCTCTACATCAAAAAATTCACTTTACAAAATCCTTTGATTTTTTTTTAACTTCTTCAACTAATCTTTTCCTTGTATGATCCACATCCCCCTCTAAAAGCACTGTCATTCTCTATAGCACTACTCATAGCTTGCCAAATATTATAGTTTTTATATACAGTTCTTTCCCCTTATTTTTGAGTGGCAACTCTTAGCATGCAAAAATGAAGCCATTCCCCTTTTAGTACCAGTATATCCAGCTGTTTTTTTTTTAACCATGTGAGCAATCCAGCAGTATTTTGTTGAAATGAACTCCACATAAACCTCAGCCCCTGGATCTCTGACATCTGTCCGCTCCGAGAAAACACGCAGGTGTGGGAAGAGAAGCTGCCGCCTTACGGTTATTCTGCAAACTGCCTTCACACTCTTTATCCTTTGGTTACTCTGTCCCTAGAAATGAGAATTAACTCAGCACCATTCTCTCTTTTTCGATGATACCATTATTTCCAGGCTTTTAAGACTAAAATTTAAATTATCAGAAAACCTGATTTTAAAACCTACACTGAACCTGGAAAGAACAGCCTTGTAAACTCAAAAAAAAGACCAGCATTGGGAGTCAAGGGCCCGGTACTGGGAATTGCTAATAAATAATACACAGTTTAAACAGTGTCTCAAAAACTGGTTGAGGTTTCATATCTTCTATTTCTTTTAGACAAAAAGTACTACTGAAAAGAAACATGTCCCCTTCCCAGCAGATTAACTGGCAAAACTAATGAAATAACACTACTTTTGTCAATTCCAGCTCACACGCCAGCATTACTCTTTCTATTAAAGAAACCTATGACTCCTTCCTCTTTCATTTGAAATAACTAGCTTTCACTAAGACCTGGTTCCTTCTCTTTACTCTACTATGCACACAGAGGTGATTTTGGAGTCTGGGTAAGGAGGCTGCAACATGCAAAGGGTGACAATGACAACAGCAGCAATAACAAAAAGAAATGGGAAGGTATTTGTATGTGCCAGGCTCTGTTCCAAGTACTTTTAAGTGTATTAATTCATTTAAAGGGCAATTGAACAAACCCATGATGTAGGTAGTAGTTATGAGGATTATGTCTAGTTTACTGATGAGGAACAGAGAGGAAGCAGGCTATCTACTGCTAGTAAGCAGAGAGCTGAGAGGTGCCCAGGCAAGTCAGGGTCTCTAAACCACCATGCTGTATAGCTTCTCAGTAACAACATTACCCCAGAAAACAGTGAAGGTGAAACACTCAGGAAATATACAGCAAGCCTGCAGCTCGGTGGGGAGTGGTCCAGTTGCCCTCTGGCCCCGGACCAAGATAGATGCTGCTTCACAAGGAGTGGGACAGCCAGAGCAGGAAGGAGGGGGCAGGGAAGGGTATCAGAAGGAAAAGGAAGGGTGGGGAGAGAGAGAGAGAGCGGGGGTTGCTTCTACGAAGGCTGGGCGCGAGGAGCTAAGTGCTAGGCCTTTGCCAGGGCCAGAAACGACCGCCAAGGCTGAGTGATGGCCTCTGAGAACTGTCTGATTAGTGCATTAAACGTGAGCCAGCAGCCGCCTTGGCAGGGGGAGAACTGAGCGCACTTAAAATGGAAACTGCGCAGAGTAACCCTACGCTCTGAGGCTGATACCCTCAATTGTAAATAGCCTCTACCTGAAACTCCCTCGTCAGGTAACACAGAACCTCCTTGGCCCAATCCTGCTGGTCCACCTCTTTCTTTCTGAGTCCCGGCCCCCCACTCTCCTTTCACATCTCCTTGTTGGCTGCACAGCAAAATGGGGAGTTTTCAACACATGGCCTCCCTTTGACGACTCTGAAATAGATAAGGATTATGAACGTTGCTCAAATAGGAAAGGAGACAAAGGTAACAAAAACAATGGAGGGGGGAAATTCCAAAATTTCTAGAAAGTTCAAGATGTTTCCAAAGTATTGTATCTATTAAAGATGATAATATAAAAGGATCTAGACTTTCTTTTCTCACAGTCACTGTTCTAGGTCCTTTGTATGGAGAGTCCAACAGAAGCTTCAGGGTCCTGACTTGGATTGGATCCTAGAGAAACAACGACTCACAGCTGAGCTCAAAGATAGCACTGAAGGGTCTCCCTGCTGGATCTAATGGTATTCTCATCCATTTCAGAACCTGATTCCAAACCTCTCTGGGTTGGGACCCTAAGTCACCAGACCTGGGCTCAGCCTATGTGCTCTGTAACTCCATCATCATCCTTGGACCTCACTCTAGTTCTGCACCCCATCGATGAAGAGTGGCAGGCCCTTCCTTCCCTGTCTGGCACCCAAAGAGTCCTTCTTTGGCCTGTAGATGATCTTCCATACCCTGCCTGATGTTCTGTGGTCCGTGCTCCTGACATCCTTTGTTCTGGGCCACTTCTTTTGGTGCTGTTGGGCTGCCAAAAGCATCTTCACTGGCCAGTTGTTAAGAAGGCAGTATACTATAGTGGAAAGAGCTGGGCTCCAGGGTCAGTTCTACAATTTACTATTCTGTTCTTGCTGAGTTACCATTTAAGGAAGCATCTGGGTCCAGCTTGCCAGTGGCTAAGTGGTCTTGGGAGAGTGAGTCATCCATGGAGGGGCCCATCCGCCCTCCATCAGTGGGAGACAGCTCGTCTTTGCAGTTAAAAATGAGGGTTCCAGAGTCCCCTCACCTTGAATGGGATCCTGGATCCGCCATTTACTAGTGGCATAACTTAGGCAAGTTACCTTACCCCTATAGGCCTCAACTTTTAGAGACTTCTTTCAGAGACAAAATAGGAAACACTTAACTATGGTTACATAACAGAAGACAAATGTTATTATCCTTAACTATGAAGAAGTTGAACAATCAAACAATATATAAAAAGAATAATAAGCTACAACTAAGTGTGGTTTATTCTGAGAATGCAAGGCTCAATATAGGAAAATTAATCAATAAAGTCCAACACATTAACAGTCTGAAGAAGAAAAATCACATGATCACATCAAGTGAAGCAGAAAAAAAATCTGAAATTTATCCATTCATAAAAACTCTCATCAAAGTAGGAATGAAAGGGAACTTTATCAACTTGATAAAGGGCATCAACAAAAAAACTATAGCTAACATTGTACTTAATGACAAAATATTTTCCCCCTAAGATCAGGAACAAAGCAGAGATGTTCCCTCTCATTCTTATTCAACATCATAAATGAAAGTCCTACCAAGTGCAATAAGGTAAGATAAAGACATAAATGCAGATTGTAAAGAAGAAATAAGATTGTCCCTATTCGCAGATGACATGATTTTCTACGTAGAAAATCTCAATATACAAAAACTCCTAGAGCTAATAAGTGAGTTTAGCAAGGTCATAGGATACAAAGTCAAGACACAAAAATCAATCACATTTCTATACACTAGCAATAAATAACTGGAAACCAGAATTTTTCAAAAACCCATAATACCTTAAAATAGCTCCAAGTACAAATGAAATACTTATGCATAAATCAAACAAAATAGTCACAGGATATGGATTCTAAAAACCACAAAATACTGATGATATAAAGAAGATCTCAGTAAGCGAAGAGAGACACTGTGCTCATGAATCAGAGGCCTCCACATAGTAAAGATGTCAATTCTCCTCAAGTTGACCCATCAATTTAATGCCATGCCAATCAAAATCCCAATAAGATTTTTAAAT